GTGGGGGCCGCCTTGTTCTGCGCAGGGAGGGGGAAGCACCTCGCACTCTGGTGGCCCGGCTGAAGCGCTCTTGTGGGCCATCCCAAGCGATCCAGTATTTGACATGTCGCCGTTCAGGTTTCAAGTGGCGTTGCGACGGAGGCTCCGCTGGTCTTACCCATTGCAGGACCAAACAATTTGGGCGAGAACTCAGGCGACCAGGCAACAGCTGATTCCAAAAACGGAAGGCTCAAATTGCGTGTTGTACCACTCGAACGGACGTGGAAGCGGATGCTCTGAGAAGCGGGAGTTCGAGTTCGAGAGAATGTGGCTTTGGTCGGCTTAGTAATTCCCAACATCGACTTTGGAGACACGAGGCAAGCTAAGATTGCCGCCACGGGGCTGCCGATCGTTCAAGGGATACCCGTCGTAATCGATATTACGATGATCCCAATCTGCCACGCTGATGGCATTCCCTTCCCGCTAGTCGCAGTTGAACCGGGAAGCTCGTTTGCCCCGGCCAATCGAACAAAAACACGACGTACTCAGAGCTCGTGATCAGCCCCCACCTGAAGATATTCCCGGCTGCCGAGGAGACGGGAGGCCGCTTCAACGTCCCGGCACTGGCAATTGTCGAACAAGCAGGGGCAGCGAAACCTTTGCAAGCTCAAGTGCCTCCACGGCCGCACATGGCACGGGCCTGGAGGGCCAGGTGGATTACGATGCTATCGGTGACGGTGCAATGCGCTCTTGCATTCTTTCTCCGCCTCCTCCTTCTTTAGCGTTGCTTTGCTTGCCGTTGCTTCGCCTGCCGCTACTTTGCCTGCGGCCGGCCATGGTTTCACCTATGTCTGGTTTTCGGCGTAGCCTTTCGAAGTCGGGCCTGGTGCTGTAAACTTTTTTGTTCGGCACCCCACTGCCGAGCCCGAACCACAAATTACATCACGAAAACCAGGACAAGGTGACACACAGCCTCGCTTTAGCGAAGCATCAGGGCGCTGCTAAGCAAGTAAAAAAGAGAAGAGGAGGAGGAAGAGGAGGAGGAGGAGGAGGAGGAGGAGGAGGAGGAGGAGGAGGATGGTTCTTAAGAATCCACAAGACCGCGAGCGCTACTTTTTGAGAACTTCTGTTGCAACACCATGTGTTTTGATATGTTTTCGGGACACCTTACGAAACCTAATGATTTTGAAGGATTTCGGCATGCGCGCGCGACGATGCGCGCGTGTGCACGTCGTCACATTTGTTGGAAGGGCTTCTTGTGGCAGCACGCGCGCAAGGGCGTTCGAGCGATTTCGACATGCGCTCGCGAGAGACGCGCTTGGTTGCATTTTATCAACACGTTGAACACCTATGGTTTTCTGAAGAAATCGCAAGAGCGCGGGCGCAGGCTTTTTCTTGAAAGCCCTTGTTGCGAAGCCATGTGTTTTTACATGCTTTCGTGACTCTCAATTTAAAAAACCCTTACGGAACCTGAAACTCTTGAAGTGATTCTGATCAACGAATGTGCGCGCATAGTATTTTTTCCCTGAGGATGGGGGGTGGGCGATACCGGCCTGCCTCGGATGGTACGACTCCATACTTAGGAAAGACGATGGGGCAGAATCGCATGCAAATTGCAAGATCCTAATACCCTTTCAGGCAAGGGAAAAGTCCATGCGGTGCAGTATATGTTGTGAATTCACTTTGACTGTCTTGAAGCTGTCCTCTCCACTGCTCGTGCAAACATCCCACCCTCCCACCCGCAACTCAGTCGCAAGACTTCTTCAGACCCTGACGGTGGGTACCAAATGGCACTTGGCGACGACAGCGACGCCGACGACGACAGCGACAACGACGACGACGACAATGTCGCCGACGACGACTACGACGACACCGACGACGTCTCCGACGACTTCGACGACGACGACAACGACGACGACGACGACAACGGCGAAAACGACGACGACGATGACGACGACGACGCCGACGACGACGACGATGACGACGCCCTTGACGATGACGGCGACGATGACGCCGACGACGAGGACGACGACGACAACGACGACGACGCCGACGACGACGACGACGACGACGACGAAGTCGACGACGACGACGACGTCGCCAACGAACACGACGACGAGGGAGGAGGGAGGACTATAACGGCGACAACGACGACAACGACGAGGGAGGACGGCGACGACGCCAACGACGAAGGAGGGAAGACGGTGACGCCGACGACGACAACGACGTGGGAGGAGGGAAGGCGACGACGACGACGACGGCAACGACAACGACGTGGGAGGAGGGAAGACGACGACGACGACGACGGCGACGAAATAGGAGGGACGACGACGAGACGCCAACGACGGACGACGACGACGACGAAGGAGGAGGAAAGACGACCACGGCGACAACGACGACGGAAACAACGACGACGTCAAAGAGGACGACGACGACGGCAACGACGACGACGACGACGAGGGAGGAGGGAGGACGGCGACGACGATGACGGCGACGACGCAAGATCGCGCGCGCACGCTTTTGTTGAAAATCCGTGGCGAAACCTTGTGTTTTTGCATGTTTTTTGGACACTCGATTTTGAAATCCTCCCGAAACCAAAGGTTTTTCAATGATTTCGGTATGCGCGCGACGACGCGCGCGCGTGCACTTCGTCCCGTTTTTTGAAAAAGATTCTCGCGACGGCACGCGCGCAAGGACGTTCGAACGATTTCGACATGCGCGCGCGCGAAGCCCGTTTGGTAGCATTTTCTGGAAACCTTGGGAAACCTATGATTTCCCTAAGATTTCGCAAAAGCGCGCGGTTGCTTAGAAAATCCGTGTTGCGAATCCCTCTGTTTTTATATGTTTTTGGAAACTCGATTTTGAGATACTTCCGAAACCGCAGGTTTTTGAAGGATTTCGGCATGCGCGCGCGACGGCGCGCGCGTGTGCACCTCGTCCCGTTTTTTGGAAGGGATTCTTGAAAACTTATGATTTTTGATGAACGAGTGCGCGCGCATAGTATTTTTTTCCAGACGATGGCGGGGGGGGTCAATACTGGCCCCTCTGGGATAGTGAAAATTTGTTCCTAGGATGGACGATGGGGCAGAAACCTATGCGTTTTGCATCGGTTCCCCGTGAATGGAAAATCCCGGGGGGGGTGGGGGTGGTAGAACCTATTCTCTTTGTAGAAAGGAGAATGTACGTGTTGCAATATCTGTTGTGCAGCCTATGTTTTGCAATCTATGTTGTACAAAAGATATTCTGCAGTATGTGTGGGGTAAAATATGTGGTACGACCCATGCAGTGCAATGAACTCTGTCCAACCTATGTGGTGCAGTATGTCTTGTACAAACCTATATGGTGCAGCATGTATTGTGCAAACTATGTGGTGAAATCTATGTGGTGCAACATGTGTAGTGCAATATCTGTGGTGCAATGCATGTGGTGCAATGTTTATGACGCAAGCTATATAGCGCACTATACGTGGTGCAATGCTTGTTGAGCAGTATCCGTGGTGCAATGCAAATCAAGGCAAAGCACCACAATGCAATGCAAAGCAATGTCAAGCAATGCAAAGCAACGCTACGCAATCGATGCGGTGCAATCAAACGGCGGCGACGAGTGGCGACGGCGGCGACGGGGCGGCGACGGCGGCGACATAGCCGCCAGACTGGCCGCCAGGCCCAGACGACGGGCGGCGACGAAGCGGCGACGGCGGCGAAATAGCCGCCAGACCGGCCGTCAGGTCCAGGTCCTTAGAAAAGAAATGAGAACCCCAAATCAAATGCAAGAAGCACTATTGGGAATCTGCATATACACATAGATATATAATTACATATAAAGGAAGAGAGAGAGAGAGAGAGAGAGAGAGAGAGAGAGAGAGAGAAGAGAGAGAGAGAGAGAGAGAAACAACAAAATAACAAAGCGAGAGAGAGAGAGCGATAAAGAGAGAGAGAGAGAGAGATATGTAACAAACGCGAGAGAGAGAGAGAGAGAAACACAAAAGAGAGGGAGAGAGAGAGAGAGAGAGAGATAAAGATACATATATATATATATATATATGAACATTTATAGAGAGAGAGGGTGAGAGACAGAGAGAGAGAGTGAGAGAAAGAGAGAGAGACATAGAGAAAGAGAGAGAGAGAGAAAGAAAATTAGAGAAAGAGAGATGAGGCACAAAATCATTACGGAAGGGAGGAGAAGGAGAAGCAGCAGCGGCAAACAGTAGCAGCACCGGCAAGGAAGGGCAACAGTTGTGGTGGCGACGGCTTGCATGTTGATCGGGCGCGCCGGGGACGGCCGGGTGAGACGCAGAGCCGTTCGCGCCCGCGCAGGCGGGGCCCGCTGCTCAGCCGAACAGGTCGAAATCCACATCTTCCTCTTCTTCCTCTTCCACGACCTTCTTCTCCTCCTTCTTCTCTGCTCCGGCGTCGCCGCCGCCACCGCCGCCGCCGGCTGCCGGGGCACCGCCGCCGCCGCCGCCTCCGCCGCCACCGCCGCACGCAGCGAACTTCTTGGATCCCTCGGCGATGAGCTCGTGCACCTGCTTGCCCGCCATGCGCTCGATGAGCCTGTTCAACATCTCGTCCTCGCACGCGATGCCCCCGGCCTCCAGGATGAGCTTCACGTCCTCGGCCGTCGGGCTCTCCTTCCCGCCGAGCACGGCGAGCATGTAGGAGCCCAGGTACTTCATCGCCATGGCAGCTCGCGAAGCTCTGGGGCGTGCCCTCTCGATCTGCCCGCCACGCGCCTGGACGGCCTCGAGCCGAAATGGCTCCAGAGGGGGAGGAGGACCGGGAGAGGCAGCGCGTCTACCGCCACCGAGGCTCTGTTCCCCCGGGCGCAGGGACTTCGCCACCACGCGGGCCCCACGAGCTCCTCTCGATCGTTGCAGGCAGCTGCTCTTGCCCCGGGGCCGCAGACTAACCCGTGGGGTGCCCGAGGCTGCGAAGGAAGGCCCGCCGCGATCTTTACCCGCGACGCCTGGCGGCCTGGAGGCCCCGCCTCCTCAAAAGAAGAGGATGAGGAGGAGGAGGAGGAGGAGGAGGAGGAGGAGGAGGAGCAGGAGGAGGAGGGGGAGGAGGAGGAAGGGGAGGAAAGGTGCCAGGAAACAGCATGCACATATGGTGTGGGACCCCCGCGCCGACCAACTCCTGATGGCCCTGGGGCCCGGCAAGGGCACCAGGCCGAAACCTGCGAAGAATCTCAGGACCCCTTTCTCCATGGTGAGCACTGGCTGCGGCGTCAGCTGCCCCCTCGAGCAGATCCTGGAGGGCCGGCCTACGGTGGCGCCTGCGGCGCGCATTGGCAGGCCGCAGCTCGCCACCATGGGGGCCGAGGCCACCGCCTGGGGCCGAGGATGCCGCCGATCCCGCCAGGGCCGCGCGCAGGGCCAGGCGTTGAGCCTGCCCCGTCTGGCTGCGGCGCCCCTGCCGGCGCCAGCGAGGGATCTGTAAGCTGCTTCGAATCCTCCTCGCGCTCGGAAGCTCACCACTGGTGGCCTCTGGCGGGGCACGCGCTGGAGTTTCGGCGGGTCAGCGCGGCCCGCCGCATGTCTCGAATTTTCGGGCGTGGCTCTTGTGGCCAGGAGGGCGGAGGGCCGCGACACCCGTCTCGGGGAGCGCTGCCGCGGCGCGGGGGGGCGGGGGGGGAGGAGGGCGGGAGGGAGGGAGGGGTCTGGAAAGGGAGGAGACGAAGGGGGAGGAGAAGAGAAGGATAGTGAGGGCTCTCACTTGACAGTCGCCAGAAGCAGGAGCGCATTGTTGATGCCGAGCTCGGGCATCCACATGGTGAGGATGGGCATCAACACGTTCTGTATGGGCCCGATCCATTGGACACACATCGCGGTACGAGGATGGAAGACCAGCTTGCGCATACAGTTGCGCCAGAAGGCGGCGCTGAACGCGAGCTGAAAGCCCCTGCGAAGGCAGCGCTGCCAGCCAGGCATTTCGCCTGTTGGCGGCTTCGGAAGATTCTCGGCCTCTGTGCCGAGCCACAGGAAAGCACACGGATGCATCACGTCCAATCCGATGAAGCTGACAATGAAGACCCCGACGACGTCAGCGTGGGGCAACATGTTGGCCCAAAACAGGATCTGGACGACTACCATGGCGCTGACGAGGAACAGCGTCCACCACTGCGTCATGGCCTTTGACACGGCACCACGATCGCCGCCAACCCAGTAACTGATGTCGACGCCAAGCATCCTGTTCTTCAAGAAATCGGATGTGCCCATGACGATGGAGTATGCAGTGAGCGGTGCAGTGATGTAGAAGAGTTGAGTGGTGCGCCAGATGTTCGTCAGGCTGAGAAAGAACACCTCGTTGGCAGCCATGCTCTGATCCATGCGGTAGCGGCAGGTGGCGCTGATCACCATCGACCAGGACAGGGCCTGCATCATCCACGAGAACAGCACCATGCCATCCGCGTCGAAGTGGTAGTACCTGCGGAAGAAGACTGCGTAGTAGTTAAAGCCAACCCAGAAGAAGGCAGTCCAGAACCAAAGAAAATACGTTAAGTTGTCCATCGTGATGAGCAAGCGCGCCCACTGCGCCATTGTGGTTGGAAAACGAGTGCGGCGAAGTTTCCGCTTCCTCCCACAGCACGTGCAGTGATGGAGCCAGTGCGAGATGGTCGTGATCACCAGCAGCACGATGAAGAAGAGGCAGACCGCGAAGATCCAGCCCTGCACGTTCAGGAACATGTCCACATAGACGTGCTTGTATGTCTCGGTCGTGGCTCCGTAGCCTTCGCACCAATCCGCGAACTGAATGGCAATCTCAAGCATGGCATCGCGGAACCACTCGCCGGCAGTGGGGACGAGATCGCCTGCCACGTCGAAGAGGCCCTTGTAACCCGGTCCGTAAACCAGCCAGAACAGGGAGCCGATGAACGACAAAAACAAGACAAACGTCATCCAAATCATGTGGATGCCTTCCTCGCATCCGAGAAAGGTCTGCAGGGAGAGTACAACGCCACCCTCGGCCCAGCGCTGCACCGCGGCCAGGTAGTCCACCGGGTCTTTGGCCATGCCGTAGGCGAGGCGCTGGTTGATGTACTGGGAGTGCTTGCCCTTAACGACACGGTCAAGAGAACTGGCAGTGTCCTCGACCTTGCAGCTCTCGTGGAAGAAGGTGTACTCGATGATCTGCGTGAACCCCTGGCGCTTCATCTCGATTGACTCCATATCCCAGATGCTGTCCGTGCCATGGATGCCTGCACGTCTGTCCCGGATTAGCCAGGTGCCGCCGGTGCCGCAGGAGCTGACGCCGCCAGCGCAGTTCCTGAGCATGCAGTTCAGGCGGAAGAAGTTCGAGTTGTTGGTGTCCAGGTAATCCACGTCGTCGGGCATCTCCGGATAGAACTGCGGGCACTGGGTGAACGCAACCGAAGTGTCCACCTCATGGTCATCTTCGTGGCTCCTGCGCTTCTGGAAAAAGAAGGGAATAGTCTCGTGCATGAAGTCTGGCTGGAACTGGTGGCGCGCGTCGGCGATGCTGAATAGAGAATACTTGAAACGGCCAGGCTCCAGGGCATCGTTCGCCGCGGGTTCCAAGCGCATGGTGTAGTCAAACAAATAGTTCTCCACAAAATTCAGGCCACCGGCCTTGCCGCGGCTGGTACGCAACGGCACGAGGTACTTCTTCGTGTCAAAGTCGGCATCCGTGAATTCCTGGGCGTTCTTGCGCCACTCTCGCCAACTCTTCTGGCCCCTGGCTTCTTCCAGCTGCGGGATCTTGTAATACCACACCCCACGTGCCACGTGCTGTACTTTAAGGATCCTGTCGTCCTCGTCCGGCTTAGCACGGCCACAATAATGCAGCGTGTACAGCGGCCTCGGGCTCGGGTTGGCGCTCGATGGGCGCGGCGTCCAGACGTGCGCTTCCACGTCGTCCAGGTGCATTGGCACTCGCGCATCGCACACTCCAGCACCATCGAACGTCTTCTCGCCGCAGGCGAGCTCCTTGCGCAGCTGCTGGAGCGCCTCTTCAAGGTCGCGGATGAAATTGCCAGCCTCGGTGCCGTCGCTTGCCTTCGGCCACCCAGAGCGGGACTGCAGCGTCTTCAGTGCCGTTACCCCGGCGAGGTCGTCGAGCTGCTTCTCAAGCTTCTTGATTTCAGCCGTTGGCTCCTCGCCCTCCTTCAGCTTCTGGCGCAGCGACTTGATCTTTGACGCAGTCTTGGCAGTCTCGCAGGTAGCCAGCCGGAACAGCCTGGTCTGCTCCACCCACAGCTTCGTGAATGTCTTCAGGTTGTCCTCCTTGTAGCCAGAAGGGGACGCGCTTCTTGGAGACCTCGCGCCCGTGAGCTGGTTCAGGGAGACGTCTGGGATATGCTTCAGAACCGTGGCGAACGCCCTGAACATAACCTTTTGCGGGTGCCTGTGCCCCTCGTCTGCGAACACGACATAGAAAGGGCACTGGCAGCTCTTGGGCATGCCGGAGAATGCACCGACAATATTGCGGAGCACAACCGCCTTGGTCTCGCCTCCACTGGGCGCGCAAACTGCAATGTACTTCAACTGCCCTGTCATGCCGGGATGATAGAATTTGGGATGCTTGTACGGAATGAACAAGCCCGGGAAGTACGTGACGAGCCTCACGGCGAATCCTATGAGGAGGGTCACAACGAACGCGTTGACCGCCACGCCGTCGTTGGTGGGCACCTCGAAGTTCGAGACCAGCTCCGCCATATCGATCGTCCCCTCTGGCGTGCAGTACAGCATGGGCTCCCCCGATGCCTCCCCGCACGCGTACGCACAGCGGCCAGCCACCGCGAGACAGCGGTCGTTGAAGGGTGGCGGGGCCACGGTCTGCCCCAGCTGCAGCTCGAACAGATCGCCGTAGAGGCTGGCATTGACCGCGCAGGCCACCACGTACAGCGGGCCCCGCCGACCGAAGCACTGGCTGGGGCTCAGCGTCACTTTGTTCATGTCTCGGAACTCCATGAGGTTCCAGTCCGCATCGTCCAGCAGAGCCTGCACACTGGCGGTCTCGCCGCTCTCAAGCTCAGCTTGCTCAATCTCCACAACTGCCAGCGGTTTGGGCTTCGGGTGGGTCACGGAATCGTACACCGATGGGTCGTACAGCCTCTTCCAAGTGCCGTTCCACATGCCAGCTGGGCCGATGCCGCTGACGTCTATGCCGGTGGTGAAAATGTACGCACGCGGTGCAGCGTTCGCGTTCAGGAGTGTGCCGTCATCATCGGCCACACTTCGAAGCGTGACCTCCATACGCGGCAGGCTGTCGTAGTCCAGGGAATGCTCTTGCAGAGTCGCCGAGATCGTCGTCTGACGGCACGTGTGACACGGCCACTGGGACATCAGCGAGGTGGAAGTGATGCACTCTTCAGACCATGAATCGGAGATGCACGCCCTGAGGTCCACGTTGCCCACGAGGCTCACGTTAAACAAGTCACGACCGCCCACCCTGTAGCCGTCTCCGCCCTCCAGCGGGTCCACCTGCAGCACGCCGTCGGGGCAGCCTGCCAGGCCCTCTACCGACGGGTTGGACCCGCAGGGCCAGCCGCAGGAGCCGCCCACAGCGTCGCAGTACAGACCGAGCTTCTCGATCGAGAAGCCCTCGATCACATCGTTCGAGTCATGCCACGCCACCTTGTCTGCAGACCAGGCCACACAGGCCATCACGTAAGTGGGAGCGGACGCGAACTGCTCGGTGGGTGGTATCGGCTCCATGCTCAGCTCGGGGAGTTCGGGGACGCGCGTGCAGTCTTCGGTCACGTACGTATAGATCGCCGCCTCGCCGGCGTTGTGGCTCGGGAAGAAGGGGGTCGGCGAGGCGTCCCGCTTGTCTGAGGCCACCCACCAATCTTCGAAGTCGTTTGAGGCGAGCAGCACCGGGAAGGCGGTGTAGTCAAAGCCAGGGGCGTCTAGCTTCATGCTTACCTGGAAACTCACGCCGTCACCACTGCCGGAACCTCCCGTGCATGAGTGATTGCACTGCGAGTAGGCCTTGGGGACGCCTGACATCTCCAGTGCATAGTCAGTAATTGTCCCGTGCTGAATGAAGTCGTGGTCCTCCAGGATGGGCCATTTAGCGTAGTCCTCGTTCCAAAACTGGTACGGCAATGGACTATTGACCATCCAAACAAGGAAACAAGGGAACTCGAAGACGAACGTGAGGAACACGATCACGAAGCACCAGTAGCAGCTGCCGCCCTTGCCCTTGCCGCAGTGGTTTCTGCATGCCCAGCACCACTTCTGGGGCTTGGGCAGGCTGGATTCCTCCTCGTCCACCTCCTCGGGCAGGCTCGCCGCGGAGCCCCCTGCGCGGCTCCCCACCGCGCTCAGCGCGCGCCCGAGCGCCGAGGGCAGCCTGGCCGCGAGCTGCGGCTTGGCCTCGGCCGCCTCGAAGCCTGCGGCGGTCTCGGGGTCGACGGAAGCCCGTTCGAGCTCTCTGATGCTGGCGGCGGAGCCCGCCTCGCCAGGACCGGTCGCCTGGGAATGGACTGCAGGAGGCTCGGAGACATCAGCGTTGCCGCCGGCCGAGCTTTGGGACTGCATCGGATGACCAGCGAACATGGCCGCGTGCGCTGGTAAGGCGATGGGAGCGGCACACAGGCCGAAAAGGTGCAAGACGATGGCTCTTTTGACCACCTTGAGACAGAATGGCTACGGAGGAGGAGCAGGAGGAGGAGCAGGAGGAGGAGGAGAAGGGTGGGGGCGCCCAAAAGCTCTTCCGGGGGCGCGCTCTTTGGCCACAGCTGCGGCGCGGACCTGGCCGTGGCGACGAGGCCGCTCCGGGATGCTCAACCAGGCCCACCTCCTCCTCCTCCTCCTCCTCCTCCAGAGCCGTCTAGGGAACCTCGATCCTCGACCCTCCCCTGAGACCCGACGCTGCGAAAACATGCTGCGTCGCGGCGACTGCGACTGTATCGTCTGCTGCATTTTGTGAGTGGGACCGATCTGGGCGAAAGCGCCGAGTGTGAAGAAGATGCCACGCCCAGATCTCTTGGGCCCTCAGCGCTGTTCCATGAACAGCCCCCCCTGCCTCCAGATCCGCCGTACTTTGGGTGAATTCGCAAGTAGTGCGGACATTTCCTCTCTACTGTTAAAGCTCCTTTGATGCAGATTCCCGCCCCACTTTGCGGTCGCTGTTCCCGCCGCTTGTTTCTGAAATCGCCGCCCTACCATCGAAAACGCATTGCCCTAGCCAGCTCAACCCAGCTAGCCCGTCAGTCAACCAGCCCAATCAGCCACCCCGCTGCCTACCCAGCCAACCCGCCAACCCGCCCAACCTCGCCGCCAGCCCACCGCCGAGAGGGGGGGGAAGTGCTTCTTACCAGCGAGACCGAGAAAACTCGCCCCCTCGGAGCCGGGCGGGACGTCAGGGGAGGGCAGATCGCATCGGACCGCGGGGGAAGCGGCTTCGCGCCGAGGGGCGTCGAAGGTGGCTTCGGGCCCCGAGCACGTGCCTGCTGCCGCTTGTTTGCCCTTCGCCGCACCTTCCTCCTTTCTCAACGGAAAGGGCTCCCGTCCTCGAAACGGCCGTTGCTTTTGAGGCCCCGCGCGGGGCTTCTCAGGAGGCCCGCCAGGACGGCCCGGGGAAGCCAAAACGCGCATCGTGGGGGGGTCCGCTCCCTGGAGCGGACTCTCTCGGGTGGCACTCGACAACCCAGGAGGGAGGAGGGAGGCGGAGGGTACAATCAGCGGAGAATGTATGCACCTTTCTCTCCTGAGCGCTGCTCGGCGAGACGGCCCGAGTCGAGAGCTGTAAGCGCCGTGCGGGCTCTCGACACGCCCGAGCTTGAACGTAAGCGGCAGCAGAAGCATCTAGCTGTCTGGACTCTCGCACAGGCACGAGGGGATCTAATCTGTCCTCTCCTCCGCTGCTCGTCCGACCGATTCTAATGTTTTTAAATAGGTCAGAGAATGGTCATGCTGATCAGAGGGGGAGGGGGAGGGGGAGGGGGAGGGCCCAAACTCAGGGTGGGAAGCTAAAACCTCACCACACATCACACGTGGGCAATCTCACTCCACTCCATCTCCCGACTCATCGCCCACGATAGGGTGGCTGCAGCAGCGCGGCTCGCAGAGGCAGCAAGGGCTGCCTCGTCCTCCTGGCTGTGGACCTTGGTGGGGAAGCCGAGGGCGTCGATGATCATCTGCAGGTACCTCGCCTCTGAGCGGCGAGAAACATGCAAGGTCCACCACGCTGCTGCAATATCCGAGAGAGCTGCAAACGTTGATGCAGAGGTATCAGTCGAAGTTGAACCTTTCGAGAAATGTAGACTCGTAGCCTTGAGCTCTGTGTAGGTCACGTCTGGATCAAAACCCCAATCATCATAAATGTGCAACGCTGTCGAGCGCATCAGAGTCTCATAACATAGAATGCAGACGACCAGACCACAGAATGCCAATATTCATATTTGGATTATCACGCCCAGCTCTGCGAACCACGAAGGCGAAGGCGAGGAAGCCGACCCAGAGCAGTAGGGCGTGTCACCGCCAAAATGCTGGAAGTTCTGATACACCCACCTGCCATTCAAGTACTCCTACTGACCACTGCAAGGGGACTGGGAAAAGGTCGAGGGCGAGGTAGATGATGAGGGCCACGTAGGATAGCACAAAACTAAAAAAGCCAAACCATTCTTTGAAGAAGTTCCACCATGTACATTTTTTAGACCCCGCGGCTGGAGGCCTCTCCGCACGAAGCTCCACTTTGATACTGGTCTGATGTCACTCAGGACCACATAGAATGTCTGCTGCACGGCTCGCACGCTGCTTGAAATGCCTTGGAACTGACTTGCCAATGTCCACTGACTCTATCAACAACCTGACCCGCTCCTTCGCCTCGGAATCCTTGGAGATGCAGTCGGCCAGGAAGGTAGTGATGCTCTGCTTGGACAGGTCCTCTGGGATGACCGCCGTGCCCACGAGGCTCTCGAGCCACGCCTCGGCGACCGTCGAGAGGCCACTCGGGACCGTAGCAGGCGCAGCACCTGGCGGCGATGGTGGAAATGGACTCGGAGTTGGCGGGCCGCTTGGCACAGCACCTGGAGGGGTTCCCACTGACTGCGGGGTGAAACCCTGGCCGCAGATCTTCGCCATGTGCTCCTCAAAGCTGGACTTCATGGCCTCCGCGAGGATCTTGCCCTGTGCCCGCAGCTGCTCCTCGTTCTTCGCCTGGCGCGTCTCTGCCAAGAAGTTCGCGCGCTCGGGGCCCCTCTTGGCCAGGAAGCGCCCGGGCCGCTCAACCTCCTTGGGTCTCCTCGCTTCGTCGCTCGAGTCTGGCGTGTGGCCATGATGCCGCCGATCACGACGATCATCTCCGTCGCCCCGACTGTCGCGACCACTTCCGCGACGGGAGTCCCAGCCACGTCGATCATCGCGGTAGTCCCAAGCACGGCGGTCGTCACGTCCGTCGCGACTGTCTCGGGAGTAACCTTTTCCACCACCAAGGCCTCTGCCACCCTTGCCAGAGTGGTCGTCCCTGCGCGGAGGCCCCGTCGGCTGGTGTGAGGTGGGGGGTTTCAGTAGTCGGACCCAAGGCCTGAGGACGCAGCGAGTTTCTTGAACCTCCAGACTCCACGGGCATCGATGAATCAGAGCACGTAGAAAGGGGCGATGGATACCCGAGGAGGAACATCGAGTGAAAACACAAGCAACCAGTAGGAGGCCAGAATCACAGAAAGGCTCATAGATCGAGCCCGTGGGATTCGATTTGCTAGGAGGCTGTACAGGCCAGCAAAGCCACAAGGAAGAGCACCCAACAAATGGTAGAACCGTAGCCCGCATACGAGGTTGCGTCTGATCATAGAGCCACGCCCGATTGTTTCTTTTTTTGTAAAAAACAAAGATGATGACCATCGAGCCAACCGCGACAACTTCTAAGTCGAGCCAGGGAGTCGAATAACATGAAAGAGACGAAGCCGTCGACAGTTTTACATCATACGTGGTGTGTATACAGTGTGCCGTACACGCGCTGCAACAAAGAAGTACTTAATCCTAGGATGTCAACATACCGACGTAGTTTAACATCGCATGGTTCATGAGGTTGGAGCGGTGGAAAACCTTCTCGAACAGAACGGGTTTGATCATGCGTCGCCCGAAACTCCTGAGAACACAATAAAGCACTGAGTGCAACAACAGACAGTGCACCGCCGATTGCAAGACCTTGGAGCTCGAAAATGATTCCGAAGGCGCTAACCAGGGACACCCAGCAGTAGACCGATAGATCTAGGAATACGTCCGCCATGGTTGCGCGATAGTCGCCCGATGGCGCAGCAGTATCTGACATAGTGAGGGATTTGACCGACGGGTAGATATTTGAGCGCTTTCCTGTTCGAACGAGACAAGTTTCGGTCGGTGCCGCTGCTTGAATAGAATGCTTTACGAAACGCCATGCACATGTGATAGCTGTTGCACTGCGCTGCTCATAAGCCTGGTCTGCATCGCATGAGACAGCGCTGACCTCCGTAACGTCGCAACCGCATCGACGACAATGCGGGAGGGGAGCTGCGAGAAGACTGACACGAAGGGGCCGAACATCAGCAGCTGCGAATCTGATGTCAAAACACTCGTCACCTGCTTCTGACCGCTTCAGGAAGCTCCGAGCGGCCCTTCCAAGAATCCGAGGACAAAAATAACCAAGATACCCTGAAGTGTTGATGACCCTCCTGAAACAACTGTGAGCCGCTGTCCCGCAAAGCCTATCACCTGTAACTGGGAAACACTTCGACTTCACGAGTGGGAAGACAGTGGGGGGTCGGGGAGGTGATTGAAGGTGTGGGAGCGGGGGCGGCCCACAAAGCCAGACAGGAAGTGCAAACACTGCTCTTGCCCAGGCCCATGTGCACACATCCGCTTCTGACAAGTCTGGCCGCCGCCGCCATGCTGGATCCTCTGACATGGATTGGCGAATGTAACGAATCATATCTGGACCATTCGCTGACCAGACGCGATCCGCAACTTTGTCGTCTCCACAAATGACACACTATCCGTTTCACGCAACGCTAATGACAGAGCGCGCTCTATTCCGCCCCAATCAGGCGGAGGCCCACCCGGTCTAGGGCCCGGGGAGCTGGCGCGCGAATCGGAGTACGAGCGTGTAGGGGATGCTGGAGGCGTCGACGTCGTGCGCCTTGGGGGTGTAGACCACGTCTTTGGAGTAGACGACACCTGTGATGTAGAAGACCGCGCCTGCGAAGGAGAAGACCGCGCCTGCGAAGAAGGAGGCTGCGCCTGTGAGGGGGCCCACCGTGCCTGCGAAGAAGTAGATCGCACCTCTGAAGTAGTCCAGGCCATCCGAGAAGAAGAGTTCGTCACCCATGGTGTCGACGTTGACCGCTGACAACCTGGCCCGCCACGGAGTCGCGTGAGTGCCCGTCGGAGTTGCGTCTGATGAATCCCGACACGCTGGCACCAACTGTTGAGAATCGAAAGGCACTCGGCCACCAACAACTTCGGTACGGACCACCTTGGATGTCTCCACAGTCCAAGTAAGCAACGAAGACCATATGATGGAGGTGGGCACGTACAGCTCGTCGGCCTCGGTATATCTTTTACCGTGTGCGTGTGGCAAAATGAAGGGGCATTGATTTTGTCCTTCCACGTTGACTGGCGTCCGAAGGTGCACCTCGCCCTGGTGCAGATCCACGTCCGAGAGTCTTCC